TAGTGAGAAATTTCTCCACAATTTCTGGATTCACAGGTGAATCAAATATCCAGACCTATTTGACAAACTATCAGTAACACACTAGTGGTCATTCCTGACAACCTCTACTGGTTTGTTGTTGTTTGATGTGGAGTCAGAACCGAATCATAACTGGCTCTGCAATGGGTTTTCAGAGGCAGTTAATGGCGTGGAAGGAGATTACCCTTCATCCCGCAGATCAGCTGGTGGATTTGGACCTCATGCCTTTGAGATTTCAGTGAGACTTCTTACTACTAGGTCACCAGAGCTCCCTGCTTAGCCTTTATTGTTGTTATTGTCTAGTTGCCTGCAACTCATAGCAATGCTGATTACAGTAGCTCTGACCCCTGACCTATCCTGAGCCAATCTCCAACACACCTGCCCCTGTAACCCCAGTCACTGTGTCAATCCATCTCATCCAGGGTCTTCCAGTCCTGCTTTGTCCCTCCACCGTTCCAAGCATGATGTCCTTCTCCAAGACTGGTCACTCTCGGCAGCATGCCTAAAGTGTGTGAGACAGAGCTTCAGAATCCTTGCCTCCAGAGAGCAATTTGGGCTTCACCATTTCCAAGACAGACCTGTTAGTTCTCTTGGCAGTCCATGGTATATTCAATACTCTTCTGTAGCATGACAACTCAAAGGCATCAGTTCTGTCATCTTGAGTCATTGTCCAACTCTCTGATGAATAGCAAGTAATCTTCAAAATTTTTCATACGAATAAATCGAATAGTATCCAGCTATGTGTAGTACTTGACTGAGAGCATGAACTCTAGGCATTGATATCTTGGTGAAAAAAAACTACAAATGTTTATTCCTCTCTCATTCTCAAATCTCATTGACTTGAAGTTGTTTAACATTTTGTTCAATTAACTTTTTGTTGGTGATTAATCAGTTCTTTCAAAGCATACCAGAATTGGTGGTCTGCATATATACCAAATGCTCATTAAGTGGTCATTTACCGCCTGCTTAACACAACTAATTAGCTTTATGTTGTTGTGTTCTGTCAAGCCAGAACCAACTCAGAGCTGACCCTCTAGTGGGTTTTCACACAGGAGATTGCCTGTCTTTCTTTGTGGAGCAGCTGGCAAATTTGAACCACGTGCCTGTGGGTTGGCAATACAACTTCTTGTTACTACACTAATGCAACGTTACCCAAAAGCAGTTTGGCCAGTCTTAAATATCTATGATTAGAACTCGCTTTGGCAACACGTATACTAAAATTGGAATGATACCAAGATAGTGTAGCCCCTGTGCAAGGATGACATACAAATTCATAAAGCTGTTCCATATTTTTCCGGAGAGCATTATGCTGAGTGAAGTAACTCAATCTCATAAGAACAAATACCCTGTAAGACCATTATTGTTAAATTAGAAGGATAACTAGTAAAACAAGTATGGGGACCCAAAAGGGGATGGGGTGGGAGCAGAGGGGTGAGGATGAGTAGGGGCAAACCCACATGTTGCACAGTTTTGTGGGTGAGGGGAGGAAGTGAAGGAAATGGGAAGGATCGAGGTGAAAAGCCAGGATAATGAGAGGCAAGGTCCAATGGTGATTAATTTGATAAAACATAATGCATAGAAATGCTTGCATGAAACACAGTGTGAGTGGAGAAGAGGGTGAAACACAAGGTATACGAACTTTGTAAGCACACCAATATAAAATTTAAAAAATATTTTTTAAAAATATGATTGGGACACAGGCTTTTATGGCTGGCCACCCTGCTTTGCGGTAATGCTGCTTTAGCGCCACCATGTGGAAAGAGAGGATAATACTGTTCTGTCTATAGTTGCCATCCAGTCTGTAAATACCGGTTCTATCGAGATTGTGCATTCTTCTTTCCCAGAACAGCTGGTGTATCCGAACCCCTTCTCTTTGAGTTGGTAGTGCAACTCCCTACCACTAGGTCACATTCTGGTAGATGGAGAAAACATTGAAGTGATCAACAATTTAACTTGACTTGGATCCACAATCAAAATCAAAAGACTTATAGCATTGAATGTCTGCAGTCAAGGATTACTCCAAACTACTAAGGAGGAATGATGTAGGTTTAAAGACCAAGGTACACCTGATTAAGGCCACAGTCTTTCATCACTTGCTGTGCATCTGAAAGTTGGACAGTAAGTAAGGATGACAGAAGAATTGATGCCTTTGAGTTGTAGTGTTGGAAAAGTGTGCTGAATATCCCAAGGACTGCCAAAGGAACAAATATGTCTTGGAGAAAGTGCAACCAGAGTGCTTCTTGGAGGCAAGGATGATGAAGCTTCATCTCGTATACTTTGGGCATGTTGTTAGGAGAGGCTATTTCTTGGAAAGGGAGGGACACTGTGCTTGGAGAGGCAGAGAGTCCACAGAAGAGAGGTAGAGCATCCATGAGATGGATTAACACAGTGACTAGAACAACGGGGCTTATGTAATGTCAGAGGTGATGAGGAGGCACGGAATGGGGCAGGGTTTAGATCTGTTATTGTTAGGGTCACTATAAGTTGTAGTTGACTCGATGACACCTGACAACAACTATAGTTAAAAAGAGGCCACCAGATGATGCTCTTGAATCCTAATCTAAGGTTATGGCATTTTTCCTAGTAAATTTTAGGAAAAGCAGAATCTTTTTGATAAAAATAAACTTGTTGTTAGATGTCATGCTTTCCATGAATCTCCATGGCTCGCCATGAATCACTAGCACTCCTCTTCATAGACATCGAGGTAGAGGTCCCAGAGCTACCAGTGGGGAGCTGAGTGGTTTGGCTCAAGAACTCAGAATCTTAACTGACTGTACATTATCATCTTGTCCAGCCCTAAAGGCTGAGATATTTTATATTGCTTTAAAAAGATGCGTAGGATATTTTAAGAATGCACAGATAAATTGCCTGTGCATTCCTTCTAAAAACAGATAAAGAACTTAGAGACAAATATTTTTTAACATTATCCTTTAGACTTCCTATGCCCAGGGGACAGGCAGAGCAGTCAAAATTCAGTGGAAGCACAGGCACTTTTTTGTCTCCAGGGCACTATTCCATTAAGAGAACTAAAAAGCAAACCAAACCAGTGTCGGGTCAATTCTGACTTGTGACGACCCTCCGTTGAGTTCTGGAGGCTGTGAATCTTAAGAGGAACAGACTGCCACATCTTCCTCCCAAGAAGCAGCTGGTGGATTTGAGCTGCTGACACTTGGGTTTCCTGAAACCCACTCTGCTGACAAGGCTTCGTCTGGTAAGGAAGAGAGGACTTTCTCACAGGGTCTTTTCCCATCTGTGGATTTCAAGTAGGTGGCTTTTCCTCTGTAACTTCAGAGTTGGAACTGGTGTGAATGCTACCAACATTCATTTATTCCTTTAGGAATAAAAAGCCTTTTGCTTCAATTACTTAGAGGACTCTTGGCTAATCACTATAAATGACATGAGAAGACATCCCAAAGATAGGAGGTCCAAATCCACCAGATGCTTTGTGGGAGAAAGATGGGAAATCTTTCCCTGTGCAACTTACAGTCTTTGGAAACTTTCTTGAGGGTCAGTTATGAGTAATTTCTGACTTGATGGCACATAACAACAATAACAAGTGAAAAAGAAAAGTTGGTTACCTGAATTTTAAGTTAAAAGTCTAAAGTGGTTGTTGTTATTGTTGGGTACCACTGAGTCAGAACTGGTCCATAGCTGACCCTCCAGATTTTCAGTTAATTGCGCAGGAGAAGATTGCCTTTCCCTCTCCTGTAGAGCAGCTGGTGGATTTGAACCACGTGCCTTCAGGATTACAGTGTAATTTCTTACCACTAGGCCACCAGAGCTCCCGAGGTCTAAATTACATCTTATTAATGGTGTAGGTATGACCAGTTTAGCATTTAAATGAAACACTTAAAGAGCTATCAGTCATTCATTCCGTGGTATTAATCAGTAAGGAGCGCTGCTGGCACAGAGGCTGAGCACTCAGCTGCCAACGGAAAGGTTGATGGTTCTGTGGGAAGGAAACCCTTGTGATCACCTCCTAAAATATTTCAACCTAGGAAACCCCATGGGACTGTTCTACTCTGCTCTGTAGGGTTCCTGTGAGTTTCAAGTAGATTTACTTGATGACAGCACACAACATCATTAGTCAGTAAAGGGAGATTTCTTTTATCTCAGTATTTAGCGAAGATCCATGGGAGACGGGGAGTTTGATAAAACATGTGGGAAGAATATACTTTGGGGCCTGGAGTACGTTGCCTCAAACAGGTCTGTGTGATCAATTTCCAGTGGCAAGTATGGTCTCCCGGGTACCAGCATGTAGGGCAGTACGGTGGGGTTTACAGCTCAGCTATATTATGCATTAAAAGAGTTTTGTGGACCACTCTGGGAATTTAAGGTTTATAAAGTGATGTAAAGAATTCTGGTGGTTTAATAGTCAAGCTCTGGCCAAGAGGTCAGTGGTTTAAACTCACTCGGTCGCTCTTAGGGAAAAAGATCTGATGATTTGCTCCCATAAAGATGACACCTAACGACACAGTCCCACTAAGGTCTGTTAGAGCCATGGCTTTCCATGACTCAGTGACATTATTCTGAGAGATGATATATTCTGATGGCTAAACAAACACAATTATAAACATTCATAACTGAACTCATTTCTGTGTTGGAAATAAGAAACATTCACCACGTATTTCCTATTCATGAGGTTCTGAGCTAAGTGTTTAAATATTAACATATCTCATCCTTATAGGAAAAAACCAAACATTAATTTGACAGAGCAGAGGCACAAAGGTTGTTTACCATTACACATTTGGTGAAAGAAAAAATAAATCGATGTTTCACGAAGTGTAACATTTCGAGAAATTTGCCGTCTGTCAGGAATGCAGTGTGAATTACTGTCCTTTCCCCTTTTCTGATTTGATAAGCTTATTCGTCATTCATCATCTAGTGTATCTGTCCTCTCTTTTTAAAGTTGAATTACAAAGGGCAAAAATAGTTGTCCTTTCCTCCCACACGTTCTTAGCAGAGTGGTCTCTGTCTTCCAGAATCCCCTACTTTGAAACGAGTGCTGCCAACGGGGCCAACATAAGTCAGGCGATCGAGGTGCTCCTGCACCTGATCATGAAGCGAATGGAGCGGTGTGTGGACAAGTCCTGGATTCCTGAAGGAGTGGTGCGGTCCAACGGCCACACGGGCACAGACCACTTAAGTGAAGAGAAGGAGAAGAGCATGTGTGGCTGCTGATGAGTCAGACGGGCGCTGCACGATGATTCCAGCAGCCTGGGTCTGTGGTCTCCTCCGTGGACGACACATGGCGCAGGGAGAGATCCTTGGGCGTTGGGTACAAACTTTCGCACCATCCCAATTAGACCCCTCCCTCAAGCATCCGGTTTTAAAAATAATGTGCTGGAGTTTTGTAAATACTTAAGATTTAGCCTGAGAGTTGGGAGGAGAATTTTGAAGAACCAAGAGTGCCTTACTAAAACTTTTAGTCTGAGAAAGTTAGTCATTCTAGGATTTTGCTGCCAGGAAAGAGTGTATTTATGTAGAATGGCTGAGGATGCTTCCACCTGCCTTACTGAAGCTAGGCCTAGAGTCTCACGTTCTCACATTCAAGATTTTGGTCACAATTTTAAAGCTATCATAGTCTTGAATCCAAACCCCAAAACAACAACCCTAATTGTGCCGTAGGTGAACTTCTGAAATGCTATCTAACCGACTTGAATATGAAACAAGAATATACACGTTGATTCAGTGTCATGCATATTTATTAATTTCAGGTAAGCTCTCCCTTTAGCATGAATATGGGCAAGATACGGTCAAATCTATAATCCCCAAGTAAACTGGATTGACCAGCTGTACTCATTGTGACTCTTATTGTATGGGAGAAGGATTGGGGAACCCAGGGCAGGTGTGACTTAATACGAACAACTGAAGTGAGGCCTCTGGTCTCTGCATATACTCCCATTTTCCTGAAGGGTTGATTGAGGGTCAGGTAGCTAGGTTTCGTGGCTTCAGTTCACTGTGATCTGTGCATTTCTACTTGGCCTATGTGCTGGCCACATGAATATAGCTGGTGCTTGTGCTGAAATTGTGATAAGCATAGATTTTAGCTAATTTTTCTTCATTTTTATGAGTCTGGTGTCCTCAGACTGTCATTTCAGTTATCTCATAATCTTGTAATCTCTGTCTTCACCATTGGACTCTGTATTGATATTTGCAATTTGCTTTCATTTTTACATTGGTAGTGTTGAAAGAATTTGTTTCTAATGGCATTCAATGCATTTCCTGTTTGATGGAAGATGGATGCTAGTATTTAAGCAGTGACATTTGTATTCTAGTTCAAGAAGAAAAATGAAGTGTTTCACAGTCTGGTGTGTTTTTCACTGAGCTTGTAAGCGTTTACTGTACATGCTGCGTCCTGCTTCTGTATTGCCAAAGTGTGTCCATTCCAAATCTAAGGTGGTTTTAAAACATGCTTTATGCCAAATGTTTTATAAAATTCAAAAGTAATTTCACTGTAGGGGAAACTATTTATTAAAGTGATTTGAATAAAGTAAATTAAAAAAGAGTTTACTGGCTGCTTTGGAAAGAAATATTACTAGTTATTATTTCTCTAGAGAGTCAAAATATATTTTGTGAGGTTAAGTGGTAAAATTGTAATTGGAAAAATAATAAACAATTTCTTTTACATAAGTTTGAAATGGATTTCTATAGATTGTCTACCTTAGTGTTTATGCAGACAGTGCCTGCAGCCATGTGCTTAAGCATGTCAGAGGTTGTGAGGATGACACAGGACAGGACAGGGTTCAGATCTGTTGCTCATGGTTCACTATGAGCTGTGCTTGAGTCGACAGGGCCTACCAACAACAACTACAACAAACAAACAACAGCAGCAACAATAACATCTTACTCTTTTGCCTTGCCCGTCCCACCACCCTCATAATAAACTTAATTTTAGATATAAAAATGTTCCTATTTCTATCTTTGAGATAGGAGCTTCTTTTAAGATACAAGAGCTCACGGAATCCTATGCATTACCCAGTCTAGTGAGGAAAGGGTTCAGGTTCAAGATCAGAGTCATAGCCACCCAACAGTGCCTTCTAAGATTTTCATAAGACTTCAGAGAAATAGATCATAATTTTACAGGTATGTATGTATATATAAGGGCATATTTATACAGAAGTTAAAAATAAGACAGTATTTATATTTTTCATTTTCAAAAACCAAATTAATTATCAGCTACCAATCTCTTTGATTTTGTATGTGATAGACTATACATCCAAAAAACATCTTTAGCTATGGAATATAAATATGCTCTTCTTTGGAAATCATTTGCAAAAATACTGATACTGAAGTGCCATATATTTTGTGTACCAATGTATTTTTCTATTTGCAAGCTTGTGTAAAAGTGAAAATGTACCTTCAGTGAACAATGTGCCTATTAAGCTTATAATAAAAGTTGTCTAGTCAAGTTTGTGTATGAATGTAATTTCATTTCCTGTAACAGTAAAGTTTTAAGTAAGAGATCATGATGACTTTTAGTAAAGTTAAGTTTTCATTCTAGTGAAGGAAACCCAAGTTCAGGGACACAAATTTTATGAAGTGTTAAATGAACATGCAGCTAACAACATATTCCAGAGAAAGTAACTCAGATATGTTGTTGATAATTTATGTGGAGCACCTAAAATATGGGAAGTGTTGGAAACAATTTGAAGTAAACAAAACAAGAATGAAAAAGAACTAAATTGGGGCTGGACCTTGTAGGGGATGGATGCAAGAGACATTGGGAAGAGCGCCATTGATTGGATAAGGAGAGAATATGGCTTTTTGATCTTGTATTTACCTCACTTCCCTTAAGAGGCACACTGGCTCCTTGACACATTCAAGTGTGTTCTTGCCTCACAACTCTTGCATTTGTTTTCTGGAATGCTCTTCTTCCATGTATCTGCATGACTCCTCCCCCATTCAAAACTATTTAAGTGTCACCTCATCCCAAAGGACTTTATTGACTATGTGTAATCAAGAATCTTTGGGTGGTGCAAGTGGTTAACTTGCTTGACTGCTAACCAAAATGTTGGCAATTCCAATTAGAGGCACTTCAGCCTTGGCAATGAGCGTCCCCAAAATGAGCCATCAAAAGACCCAGGGAACCCAGTTCCACTCTGACATAGTTCGAGTTGACTCCACATTGATCCTTAGACTTGAACGGCCAATAGAATAGAATAGTTCAGCAAGGACTGTTTGCTCCACCCAGAGACCTTTCAGAATTGAAAGTTCTGAATTGGTTCCTCACCAATTCTTTCTACTGTCTTCACTGGCTAAAGGAGAGAAAGTCCAACAGGAAGATGTAAAATACACAGTTAACACAAGGAAAGGAATATAGCCCCTGACATAGGTAAGAGGACAATGCTAGCTAGAGAGGGCAGGAAATTTGAAGTAGCAGAATAAAACAGGAAGGGGAGATAGGAAAAGGATATGCAAACTGGTGACTTTTGTCTGTAATTGTTGAAGGGCTCAGCACCACCATCATCTGCCATCAAACTGACTCGTTGTGAAGATGGCAAAGGATAGGACCGCAGGGTTCAGATCAGTTCATAGCATCAGCATGAGTCATATTTGACTCAAGGGCACATAGCAACAACAACAACAATGACAGCAACATACCAACTCTATACAGACAAAGCCTCAGGGCTCAATGCTATTGAGTCAAAACTGACTCAGAATTGAACCTGTAGCAGATTTCTGAGGCTGTAAGCCAAATGGGAGGAAATTCTCCATCTTTCTCCCCATGAAGCAGCTGGTGGTTTCAAACTACCTGAAAGGTGCAGCCTTTGGATTACCTGCAAATTTCCCTACAGAAAGGAATGATTTCCAAGACTTCACATCTTTATGGGAACAAATTTCTCTTTCTCCCTTGGAACATCTTTAGCCCTCAGGCAAAGAGAGGAAGGGAGAGGGAGATAGAGACATTAAGAAGGGTAAAATAATTTTCAATCTCTTGGTTGACAATGACTTTTATTATTCATATTTTTAGACAGAGCCTCTGCTATTTAACATTGTACTGCCATTACAGGGAACTATTTTCTGGCCAAGTGATTAGACCGGAAAAACATAATTATCTCTCACAAAATGGAAAAAAATATTTCTTTACAGATTGTAACTGTTGTAATGTAGTGTCAAGTCAAAATTTACTCATCGCTGTCCCTCTGTCTAGCAGATTTTTCAGAGGCTGCAAATTGCACAAGAAGCAATTGCCCAGCTTTTTCTCATGGAGCCATTGGTGGATTCAAACTCTCCACCTTTGGGTTAATAGTGCAACTCCTTAGCCTCTAGGCCACCAGAACTTGCCTGTAAAGTCTAACTAGATATGTGCTCTGGTGGCCTAGTGGTCAGAATCTGCCCTGCAATCCCAAAGGCATGCGATTCAAATCCACCACCTGCTTGCTCCACTGCAGAAGGATGGGCAATCTCCTCTCGTGCCATTTTCTGCCTCTTGAAAACCTGCTGGAGGTTGGTTCTGACTGGATGGTATACAACAAAAAGATGGCATTATAAAGTGGGGGCGGGGAATAAGTTGGAAAATAGAAAACAAGTTAGTAAAAAGTGTAGGTAGCTATAGGAAGGGGGAACACTGGAGGATAAATACAGTTATTGACCAATTTATAATAATAGAAACAATTGGGAATTGGCATATAAATGGATAAATCAATGGAACAATGGAGAGAGTCCAGAGATAATACCTATGGAGAAAGTGTCATTTTGAATTTGTGGAGGGAAAAGATGTCATACAACTAAAAGATTTCCATGTGGAAAAGTGCCAGAGGCAAGATAAATTGGTGAGGGTGGGGAGGCTTTGTAAATACGTGTCAGAACAGTGCTAAGTTTCAATATATCCCGCTTACTGCCATTAAGTCAATTCTGATTGACAGTGATCTTGGAAGATAGAGTAGAATGGCAGGGTTTCCTGTAAATCTTTATGGAAGTCATTCATCTCATCTCTGTCCCTGGCTGGTTGATTAGGAATATAACTTTTCAGTTAACAGCCATGAGCTTTAACCACTAAGTGGCCAGGGCTCCTTTTAATAGGTAATGTGCTGTGAAAAATCGACAACACACTACAAAACTGTGTGGAATATAAATAGACAGTTCATAGTGGGAAAATGGATTTCAAATGTTTGGGAAGATTCTTGTCTGCACTCCCAAAGTAAAGAAATGCAAATAAAAATAATGAACAAGCATTTCCACCTTAGATTGGCAAACCTGCTTTTCAGAAGGGTGTGGTGGGTCGAACATCTAATTGGTTGGTGAGAGTATAAATTGATAAAAACTTCTGGAAGGTATGTAGATTTTTCTGCCAAGGTTTGAAATTGTACATGAACTCTGACCTTTCATTTCTATCAGGATTTGTGCTGGCTTTGTACAGGAGTTGTGCTGCAGCTCAAAGGTGGTACCTCTTTTGGTGGTTCTAATACCTTTTCAGTCTACATGCAGAACAGATCATCTGGGAGTCTGGATTCTATGAGGAGATATGTGGCATCAGGATTGGAGGAAGGCTTATCAACAAACTTTGTTATACAGATGACACAGTCCTGCTTGCTGCCACTGAGTAGAACCTGAAGTGCTTGCTGCAGAAGGTCAAGGACTGCAGCCTTCAGTATAGATTGAAGCTCAACGTCAAGAAAACAAAGATTCTCACCACTGGACTGATTGGCAGCATCATGACAGATGGTGAAGAAATTGAGATTGTTAATAGCTGTAGTTTGCTTGGCTCCACAATCAACACCGTTGGTTCCAGCAGCTAGGAAAGCAAAACATGAATTGCATTGGGAAAGTAAACTGTCAGGGAACTCTCCAGAGGACTGAAGAGCAATGATGTCAGTCTGAAGACTAAGGTGCGCCTGATCCAGACCATAGTTTTCGCGATTACTTGCTATGCGTCAGAAAGCTGGATGATGACTAGGGATGATAGATAAAGAATTTATACCTTTGAGCTGTGCCTTTGGAAAAGAATATTGAATATACCATGAATTGCCAGAAGAACAAAGAGGTTCATCCTAGCAAGGGTTAAACCAGGCTGCTCCTTGGATTCTGAAGCTTCGTCTGACATATTTTGCGCATGTTTCAAGGAGGGACCAGTCTTTGGAGAGGGACATCATGCTTGAAAGGGTGGAGAGCCAGCACAAGAGAGGAAGACCCTCAAAGAGATAGATTGATTCAGTGACAGGGATTATGAAAGTAGGTGTGTCAGAGACAATAAGGTTGGCATAGGATAAAACAGGTTTCAGGGCTATTTTGCTATAGGGTCGCTGACTTGATGGCACAGAACAACAATCCACTAATTGCTTGATGGGAGAAAGATGGGCAATCTTCTCTGGTGCCATTTACAGCCTCCGAAAGCCAGCAGGAAGGGTCAGTTATGAATAAGGTCTAATTTGACTGTAATGAATTTTTAAAATTTAGCAGCTTTGGGCGTGGTGCTAGGAGGGAGCAGTCCTTGCTTTGAAAGGTGGAGGGTCACTGAAAGGAAGACCCTCAAGGAGCTGGAGTAGTGACACAGTGGCTGTAACAGTGGGTCTGAACATAGATGGTGAGGATTACCCAGGATTGAGCCTTTGTTTGTAGGATCTCTGTGAACTACAGTCAACTTGATGGCACCTAGCAACAACAACAGCAACAACAGCAAACTGTTTTGGAAAAAAAAAAAAGCATCACTAAGGATACTTAGTATGCTAAATAGAAATAGGTGCCCTTTAATAAAGAACTAAAATATTTTCATACCATGGAATTGATATGACTGGGAAAAATAATGTTAAATATTCATTAATAAGAAAATACTCATAGCCTGGCTATTATGTGTCAGAAACTATTCCAAGGGATGTAGCTGTAAACAAAAGTGATAGAAATCTCTGTCCTCAAGGAGCTCACATTCCAATGACCAAAGAAAGATGCAGAAAAAGGTGAAAAGGATGGGTTACTAGTGCTTTCGATCACCCGTGCATAATCTTTATGGGTAATAAAAGGAACTGACTTTAGGTTTTGAAGGTCTGACAAGGGAACTTTTAGTTTCCTGTAAAAATGTTTTTTTCTTAAATTTTATGCTAGTTTATTTACAAAATTCGAATACATTGTTTTTGAGGACAGATTCTTTCAATTTCCCTCACTCCTTTACCCTGTAAAAATGTTTTCATCACTGTTGCTACTTAAAACAGGAGTAAGATGAATTGACATAGTGACTTAAACAATAGGTTTGTGCATATCAGAGATGATGGGATGACACAGGACAGGGCACACACTACTTCCAGGGCTAAGCAGCTGCGCTGTAATCTTAAAACCTCAGGTTCCAGTTCACCCGCTGCTCCGCGGGAGAAGAATGAACAATCTCCTCCCGGACAATTTACTGCCTCTGAAAACCCGCTGGAGGATTAGCTGTGAGTGGGTCCCCACTGGATGGCACACAACACCACAGCGAGTTCAGAAGGTGGCAAAAGGGGTATGACTCATCATCGTAGGACAGTTAAACCTCAGATTTGCAACTTTGCACCCGGGCCAAACGGCAGCTTCCCTCCTTCCCCAGGCTTAAATTTAATGAAAATTTACAGAGACTTTGGATTTCCCTTCATTCAGTGTTGCACTTTTCTCCCTGCCCAACCCTCCCGCCCC